CCAGCCTTGCATCCCCGGGATGAATCCTACTTGATCATGGTGAATAAGTTTTTTGATTTGCTGTTGCATTCGGTTTGCCAATATTTTATTGAAGATTTTTGCATCTATGTTCATCATGGATATTGGCCGGAGGTTTTCTTTTCTTGTTGGGTCTCTGCCGGGTTTTGGTATCAGAATGATGTTGGTATCGTAAAATGATTTGGGAAGGATTCCCTCTTTTTGGATTGTTTGAAATAGTTTTAGAAGGAATGGTACCAGCTCCTCTTTGTGTGTCTGGTAGAATTTGGCTGTGAACCCGTCTGGACCTGGGCTTTTTTTGTGCGGTAGGCTCTTAATTGCTGCCTCGACTTCTGACCTTATTATTGGTCTATTCATAGTTTCAGCTTCCTCCTGGTTTAGGCTTGGGAGGACACAGGAGTCCAGGAATTTATCCATTTCTTCCAGGTTTACTAGTTTATGTGCATAGAGTTGTTTGTAATATTCTCTGATGATGGTTTGAATTTCTGTGGAATCTGTGGTGATTTCCCCTTTATCATTTTTTATTGCATCTATTTGGTTGTTCTCTCTTTTATTTTTAATCAATCTGGCTAGTGGTCTGTCTATTTTGTTGATCTTTTCAAAAAACCAGCTCTTGGATTTATTGATTTTTTGGAGGGTTTTTCGTGTCTCAATCTCCTTCAGCTCAGCTCTGATCTTAGTTATTTCTTGTCTTCTGCTGGGTTTTGAGTTTTTTTGATCTTGCTCCTCTAGCTCTTTCAATTTTGACGATAGGGTGTCAATTTTGGATCTCTCCATTCTCCTCATATGGGCACTTATTGCTATATACTTTCCTCTAGAGACTGCTTTAAATGTGTCCCAGAGGTTCTGGCATGTTGTGTCTTCGTTCTCATTGGTTTCGAAGAACTTCTTTATTTCTGACTTCATTTCATTGTTTACCCAGTCAACATTCAACAGCCAGTTGTTCAGTTTCCATGAAGCTGTGCGGTTCTGGGCTGTTTTCTGAATTCTGAGTTCTAACTTGATTGCACTATGGTCTGAGAGGCTGTTTGTTATGATTTCAGTTGTTTTGCATTTGTTGAGCAGTGCTTTACTTCCAATTATGTGGTCAATTTTAGAGTAGGTGTGATGTGGTGCTGAGAAGAATGTCTATTCTGTGGATTTGGGGTGGAGAGTTCTGTAAATGTCTATCAGGTTTGCTTGCTCCAGGTCTGAGTTCAAGCCCTGGATATCCTTGTTGATTTTCTGTCTGGTTGATCTGTCTAATATTGACAGTGGAGTGTTAAAGTCTCCCACTATTATTGTGTGGGAGTCTAAGTCTCTTTGTAAGTCATTAAGAACTTGCCTTATGTATCTGGGTGCTCCTGCATTGGGTCCATATATGTTTAGGATCGTTAGCTCTTCTTGTTTTATCGATCCTTTTACCATTATGTAATGGCCTTCTTTGTCTCTTTTGATCTTTGTTGCTTTCAAGTCTATTTTATCAGAGATGAGAATTGCAACTCCTGCTTTTTTTTGCTCTCCATTTGCTTGGTAAATCTTCCTCCATCCCTTTATTTTGAGCCTTTGTGTATCCTTGCATGTGAGATGGGTTTCCTGGATACAGCACACTGATGGGTTTTGGATTTTTATCCAATTTGCCAGTCTGTGTCTTTTGATTGGTGCATTTAGTCCATTTACATTTAGGGTTAATATTGTTATGTGTGAATTTGACACTGCCATTTTGATGCTAGCTGGCTGTTTTGTCCGTTAGTTGTTGTAGATTCTTCATTATGTTGATGCTCTTTAGTAATTAGTGTGATTTTGGAATGGCTGGTACTGGTTGTTGCTTTCTATGTGTAGTGCCTCTTTCAGGAGCTCTTGTAAAGCAGGCCTGGTGGTGACAAAATCTCTGAGTGCTTGCTTGTTCGCAAAGGATTTTATTTTTCCTTCACTTCTGAAGCTCAGTTTGGCTTGATATGAAATTCTGTGTTGAAAGTTCTTTTCTTTAAGGATGTTGAATATTGGCCCCCACTCTCTTCTGGCTTGTAGAGTTTCTGCCGAGAGATCTGCTGTGAGTCTGATGGGCTTTCCTTTGTGGGTGACCCGACCTTTCTCTCTGGCTGCCCTTAGTATTTTCTCCTTTATTTCAACCTTGTTGAATCTGACGATTATGTGCCTTGGGGTTGCTCTTCTTGCGGAGTATCTCTGTGGTGTTCTCTGTATTTCCTGCATTTGAGTGTTGGCCTGTCTTGCTAGGTGGGGGAAATTTTCCTGGATAATGTCCTGCAGAGTATTTTCCAGCTTGGATTCATTCTCTTCATCACATTCTGGTACGCCTATCAAACGTAGGTTAGGTCTTTTCACATAGTCCCACATTTCTTGGAGACTTTGTTCATTCCTTTTTGCGCTTTTTTCTCTGATCTTCGTTTCTCGTTTTATTTCATTGAATTGATCCTTGACTTCTGATATTCTTTCTTCTGCTTGGTCAATTTGGGTATTGAAACTTGTGCATGTTTCGCGAAGTTCTCGTATTGTGTTTTTCAGCTCCTTTAATTCATTCATATTCCTCTCTAAGGTATCCATTCTTGTTATCATTTCCTCAAATCTTTTTTCAAGGTTCTTAGTTTCTTTACGTTGATTTAAAACATGTTCTTTTAGCTCATAAAAGTTTCTCATTATCCACCTTCTGAAGTCTAATTCCGTCATTTCGTCACTGTCATTCTCCGTCCAGCTTTGTTCCCTTGCTGGTGAGGAGTTTTGGTCCTTTCTAGGTGGTGAGGTGTTCTGGTTTCGGGTGTTTTCCTCCTTTTTGCGCTGGTTTCTTCCCATCTTTGTGGATTTATCCACCTGTCGTCTGTGTAGTTGCTGACTTTTTGATTGGATCTCTGAGTGGACACCCAGATTGTTGATGATGGAGTATTTCTGTTACTTGGTTTTCCTTCTACCAGTCTAGCCCCTTCGCTGTACGACTACTGAGGTCCACTCCAGGCCCTGCTTGTCTGGGGTGCACCTGTAGCGGCTGCGGAACAGCGAGGGATGCTACCAGTTTCTTTTTCTGCTATGTTTGTCCCAGGATGATGTCTGCCGAATGTCAGTCTTATGGATATAGAGGGGTCAGGGAGTTGCTTGAGGAGACAATCTGTAGGAGCTCAAGTGCTGAGCTGTGAGCTCTGTTGTTCATTCAGGGCTGCTAGGCTGCTATGTTTAGTTCTGCTGCAACATAACTCGTAAGAAAACCCCTTTTTTTTTCCTCAGATGCTCTGTCTGGGCGGGGGTTGGGGCTTTCCTTGTGAGTGTCCGCCTCACTGTCCTGCCCAGCTAGGAGGCAGTCTAGTCACTTTTTGCCTGCCGAGGCTCCGCCCTGTTGGTGTGAGGTTAGCCCTTTTCCTGCAGGCTCCGCCCTTCTGCTGTGGTCTCTGCCCTGTTGCCACGGGCTACGCCCTGCGGCGGAGTCTCTCTGTTGTACCGGGTTGCCTCGGCAGCGGCAGGCTGTGTCAGCAATGGGCGTGTACCTCAGTAGGGGCTGATTGCCTCGGTAATGGCTGACGCCCCTCCCCCACGGAGCTGCGCTTTAAAAAAAAAACCTATTCACCGGGAGCATTTGGAATCGCTATTTTGTTTGTTGCACTGCGCTCCCCAAACGCTGAGTCCCTGGGATTTCCTGGGCTGGGTCACAGTTCAAGTCCCGTTCAGTCTGAAGTTCAGCCCTCTCGGGTCTTAGTTTGCCGGTTCAACAGGGCACCCGTAACAGTGCGCTTTTGTATGGAGCGCTGTGGAGCGCCTCTGCGCTCAGGCGCGGGCTGGAGCCGCACCGGCTGCCGGCTATGCCAGCGGAGACCTCTGTCTGGCGTCCCACGTCTCTTTTATACCTGGGAATTTCTCCGTTCTGTGGGCAACTAAGATTCCTCTGGAAATGCTTCCCCGACTCACCCTCTCCGTGCGTCCAGCGAGAGCTTCCTGCCCTGCTTTATTTCATTCACTGGGCATTGATAAATATCTGAAATAACCTTATTTATTGTTATCTATCTCCTATACTAGAATATGAACTTTATGAGTGTTGCCTTATTGTTGCTGTATTCCCAGTGTCTAGCATCAAATATTCATTGAATGAACCAAACCAAACACAATATATATTATGAAAATGCAAAAAAAATTCAAAGTTTATCATTTTCAAAGACTGAAATCTCACGCCTGTAATCCCAGCACTTTGGGAGGCCGAGGCAGGCGGATCACGAGGTCAAGAGATCGAGACCATCCTGGCCAACATGGTGAAACCCCGTCTCGATTTAAAAAAAAAAGACTGAAATGTTCATCTTCGGATTTTCTATACTATGCATTGTAGGAATAAACAGTGTCAATTTACACAAAGTAATTGTGCCACCATGCGCATATTAGTAATCTAATTATACAAAGTAAATGTACTTTAAAAGGGAAAAGGCAGGCTAGGTATGGTGGCTCATGCCTATAATCCCAGCACTTTGGGAGGCTGAGGTGGGCAGATTACTTGAGGTCAAGAGTTCGAGACCAGCCTGACCAACATGGTCTCTATTAAAAATACAAAAATTATCCAGGAATGGTGGCGCATGCCTGTCATCCCAGCTATTTAAGAGGCTGAGGCGGGAGAATCCTTGAACCCAGGAGTCAGAGGTTCCAGTGAGCTGAGATCACACCAATGCACTCTAGCCTAGGTGACGGAGTGACTCCGTCTCAAAAAACGCCCCCCAAAAAAAACATAAAAGGAAAGAGTTTTATCATTTCTTCATTAATAGTTTCATAAACAAAATATATCTTAAGTCTACCTATTAAAATTGTTTATTGTATTTCCTTAACAGACATTAAAATGCAAAAATCTTAAATATAAGAATTAAAGTCAGTATTCATTCTACAGTTTTATAACAGAAATCCTCCCCATTAATATTTAGATATTCAATTTAGAGATGGTTAACTGAAGGCAATCAAAATTTTAATACTGATGGATATTTGGTAAAAAGACTGCAAAAATAAAGGTGATATATACTTACACTTGGTCCTTGGGTTTCCTGCAGCCATTTAAGAATGTGGGTCAAAGAGAAAGTTTTAAAATAAGTAATTTTGTTTGTCTGAGAGTACATTAAATAGTTAAATTTTACACAATTTAATACTGAAAAACTTCATCCTAGTTAAGTAGGCTGTTTAGAAGTTCATAAGTTTTCAACTTAATTATTTTCCTTTTTAAAAATAGCTTTATTAATACAGATAATCATATATCACATAATTCAGCCAATAAAATATACCTATTAATGTTTTCAGTATATTAACAGGGTTATACAATCTTCAATTTAAATTTAAAATGAAATTTATTGATTTAGTTTAGTTCATTTATATAATTTTTATTATCAAAAATCCAAAAAGTACAAAAAAGCATATTAAAAAACAACTATTTTGTCTACAGACACAATTATATTAACATTTTGGTATATTCCTTTCAGTATTTTTCTTTATGCACTTTTTTTTTTTTTTTTTAAAAACAGGGTCTGGCTCTGTCACCTGGGTTGGAGTACAGTGACGTGATCTCAGCTCACTGAAACTTCCCCCTCCCAGGTTCAAGCAATTCTTCTGCCTCAGCTTCCTAAGTTGCTGGGATTATAGGTGCACGCCACCATGCCTGGCTAATTTTTGTATTTTTAGTAGAGACAGGGTTTTGCCATCTTGGCGAGGTTGGTCTCAAACTCCTGACCTTACGTGATCCTCCTGCCTCAGTCTCCCAAAGTGCTGGGATTACAGGCCTGAGCAACTGTGCCAGGCCAATGCAGTTTTTGCTTTGAATTTTGTTTTTAGTTTTTTTGCATACCTGTGCCACACTATGGAGTTTTATATTCTATTTTCTTTTTTTGAGAGAGTTTCACTCTTTTTGCCCAGGCTGGAGTGCAATTGTGCAATCTCGGCTCACTGCAACCCCCATCTCCTGGGTTCAAGTGATTCTCCTGGCTCAGCCTCCCGAGTAGCTGGGATTACAGAGGTGCACCAGCATGCCTGGTTAATTTTGTATTTTTAGTAGAGACGGGGTTTCACCATGTTGGCCAGGTTGGTCTTGAACTCCTGACCTCAGATGACCCACCCACCTTGGCCTCCCAAAGTGCTGAGAGTACAGGCGTGAACTATTGCGCCCAGCCTTTATCCTATTTTCACATCAGAAATACTTCTCATACACTATTGTAAACTAATAACAGTTAAAAGCTACTGAATGCTTATTATTTATCAGGCACTGTTCTAGACAGTATTAATCACTTAATAAACTCAATAACCCAAGAGATTATTCTCATTTATCAATGAGAAAACTGAGGTACTAAAAGGTTATGTACACGTACAAGGTCACAAAGGTAGTAAGCGGTAGAGAAATAAATATAACACAGCCAACTGCATAAAATTCCAATGTTATGAAACACAGTTTACATAACTATATCTATTTTAGACATTCAGCTATTTCGAATGCTTTACTATCATAAATAAAGCTATACAGATGTGTTTTTGTTATTTTCTTTTTTTCTTAGTTTTTATTCTTAGAATACATTTCCCAGAATCAAAATCATTCTGTCATGGGATATGATATTTCAAAGCTCCTGATACATATGGTAATAAATGTTTTCCCAAATGGTTGAACTGATTTTCAGTCACTAGTAACAAGAGTGCCCATTTCACAGCAGCCTGACCAGTACTGTGTTTTATTTTTTAAAAATAGTTGACCATTGTTGTTTTAACGCTACATTTATTACCAGCAACGTTGAACATTTCTGTATATCTGTGCATCAGTTTCATTTCTTCTTCTGTGAATAGTCTGATTTCATCTTGAAAATCAAGTTAAGAACTGTTCTAAACCTCAACTGATACTGTAAATTGCATTTAAAACATGAGTGTTTCCTTAATAGCAAATATTTGACTTACTAACATTGAAATCTAGCACGTCTCCAAAGAAATAGAAGTACAATTTCTTTACTATACAAGTGTAATCCTTACATTAATTTTTAAAAGGCATCTTGTTTCTTAAGTATTTTCTGAACTGATGACTAGATTTACTGGTTTAGAAAAGTTGGTTACTATCTATCATTCCTTTTGGTGACTACATATATCAATAAATAAACAAGACAAAAGATTTCTTAGATATCACAAAAGGATATAATAAGGGTTTTCTAACAATAAAGAAGCCATTCGGGCTTCTTTAATCATAGGACGGGCCATTAGTGTTCGTCGCCTCCAGTAATGCTAAGGAAACAGAAGAACACATACTCAAAGGATATAGGAGCCACATCTGTTAAGAAGAATATGTCAACAAATTATCTAGAAATTAAAGCATTATAATAAAGTCTTTTTTTTCCCTTAATGCCACTAATAAGCCAATATAATAAAGTCTTACATGATCTCCTGTTCCAGCAAGATGAATGCATACAGGTCTATATTTGCTGTTCCATTCTTTAGGCACAATAAATTGGAACCTATTTTTAAAAGCACAGACATATCAATAAAATTCTCTTTAAAGGGCTTTCAATAAAAACTTTCAATTCTTAAAAATCTTACATTTAAATTATTTGAGAGAAAAGATCAGTGTAAATTTTGACATTCAAATTGTAATAACTATATTAAGTTGTCCAAAAGCTACAAAGATATTGTAAATCTGCTTTCTGTTTAGATATTAAAATCGTCAATACAACATAAACATAGAATTTATTGTCACTATTCTTTACCTTGTTCAATATCACAACTTTATAAATACATAATGAAATTTTCTTATCTTGTAGAGACACCACCGTGTATGAGTAAGTCTTAAAAGAAATAATTTTTTCTTTTGAGATGGAGTCTTGCTCTGTCACCCAGGCTAGAGGGCAGTGGCATGATTTCGGCCTGCTGCAACCTCTGCTTCCCGGGTTCAAGCAGTTCTCTTGCTTCAGCCTCTCGTGTACTGGGAGTACAGGTGCATACCACCAGGCCCAGCTAATTTTTGTATTTTTAGTAGAGATGGGGTTTCAACATGTTGGCCAGACTGGTCTTGAACTCCTGACCTTGTGATTCACCCACCTCAGCCTCCCAAAGTGATGGGATTACAAGCGTGAGCCACCACACCTGGCCAAAAGAAATAACTCTTTAGATATAGCTCAACATTTTCTCTTTGCAAAAGAAATGCTTGGCTGTACAAGCTGTTGATGTATCAATAAAACAGTTTATGTCGTCTTTTTCTTTTTAACTTTTAGTGTGCGATAGACTCTGATTCGTTAAAATTTTGATACTTACAAGTAAAGTCAATCCATGCCAGAAAACAAAAAACACAAACGCAGTTTTCTCTCTTTGACTTTTTTTTTCTTTTTAAAGTCCAAAGCAACTCTCTGTTTTTTTTTGAGACAGGGTCTTGCTGTTGCCCAGGCTGAAGTGCAGTGGCATGATAACAGCTCACTGCAGCCTCAACTTCCTGGGCTCAAGTGATCCTCCCACTTTAACCTCCGAGATAGCTGGGATTACAGGTATCTGCTACCAAGCCCAACTAATTTTTTAGTTTTTGTAGAGGGATCTTGCTATGTTGCCCAGGCTGGTCTCAAACACCTAGACTCAAACGATCCTCCCGCCTTAGCCTCCCAAAATGCTGGGATTACAGGCATGAGCCATCGTACCTCACTTTTGTTTTTTCTTAGTGTAGTATTTTGGTCCTCATTTAATGTTTTATTTATCCACCATGGCCTCTTGAATAAGTGAGATTACAGACAAGAGTTAACATACCTGTCCGTTTTAACCATTTTTAAGCTTATGATTCAGTGACATTAAGTACAGTAACATGGCTGTGCAACCATCACTATCGCCTATCTTCAAAACATTTTTATCTTCCCAAACATTTCTCATTTTAATTTCCTTAGCAGTTCATACTTACAGACGAGGTTTCACTGTGTCAGCCAGAATGGTCTTGATCTTCTGACCTTGTGATCCACCCATCTCGGCCTCCCAAAGTGCTGGGATTACAGGTGTAAGCTACTGTCCGGCCTAGTATGGTTTAATAATTATTCCTGTTTTGTGCTGATGGGAACTCTTTTCTTTTTTCATTTTGAGACGGAGTTTCGCTCGTTACCCAGGCTGGAGTGCAATGATGGTGTGATCTCGGCTCACCGCAACCTCCGCCTTCTGGGTCCAGGCAATTCTCCTGCCTCAGCCTCCCGAGTAGCTGGGATTACAGGCACATGCCACTGTGCCCAGCTAATTTTTTTGTATTTTTAGTAGAGACAGGGTTTCACCATGATGACCAGGATGGTCTCGAACTCTTGACCTCGTGATGCACCCGCCTCGGCCTCCCAAAGTGCTGGGATTACAGGCGTGAGCCACCGCGCCCAGCCTTTTTTTTTTTTTTTGAGACAGAGTCTTGCTCCATCGCCTAGGCTGGAGTGTAGTGGTGCGATCTTGGCTCACTGCAACCTCCATCTCCCAGATTCAAGTGATTCTCCTGCCTCAGCTGGGACTACAGGTGTGCACCACCACTCCTGGTTAATTTTTGCACTTTTAGTAGAGACGTGATTTCACCATACTGGCCAGGCTGGTCTCGAACTCCTGGCCTCGTGATCTGCCCACCCTGGCCTCCCAAAGTGCTGGGATTAGAGGTATGAGCCACTGTGCCTGGCCTTTAATAAGAATTCTTTATTGCAGTACTAACTGACCACCCACCTAATTAATCTTAGTCATTGGTCTGTCTGCTCAAATTCTACTATCTTCTAACAGTCTTCCCCAGTACCCCATGATGAATGGGTACAGGCCATGTGAATCCTCTGCCACAGCTGACTGGGCCAAGCATAAGCCAAATTAGGGCAATGAGATTTGTTTTTTTTGGTAGTATGGAATTAAGACAGACTATAGCTATATTCTGTTGAGCTTTTGGATATGATAGCTCTGTGGGGCTGTGGTAGCTGTTTTGTTAGCCGTAAGAAATGAGGAGGACAGATTGCCAATGACACAGACATAGGGCATAAAGCAGACAAAAAAGACTGTGCAATAGGGAAGAAGATGAAGTAAGAAATGTATTCCCTTGGATCTTGATGCCTTCCCATTTCCCGCTTCTAAAATCTCATGAGGTAGAAAATGCACACAGGAGGTCAGATGCAGTGGCTCATGTCTATAATCCTAGTGCTTTGGGAGGCCAAGATGGGAGGATCTCTTGAGGCTAAGAGTTGGAGACCCTGTCTTTGCAAAACTAAGAATAAAATATATTAGCTGGGTGTGTTGGCATGTTCCTGTAGTCCCAGCTACTCAGGAGGCCAAGGCAAGAGGATCACTGAAGCTCAGAAGTTTAAGGCTGGAGTGTTGTGATCAGGCCATTACATTTCACCCTGGGTGACAAAGTAAGACCCCGTCTCTTAAAAAAAAAATGCATACAAGTTGACTTGCTTTTCATTCCCTTACTGGCAAGATAACAAAAGCAACAGCATTTAAAGGAATAATAAACTAGATGACCTCTACAGGCCTTTCTCAATTCCAGCTACCTATGAATCTCAGCAATAGGAAATCAGCTGATAATAGCACAAATAGGGCAAGAAACAACAAAGAGACTTTATACCAAAGTTTCAACATGTATAATTTTTTTTTTTGAGACAGTCTTTGTTGCGAAGGCTGCAGTGCAGTGGTGTGATCTTGGCTCACTGCAACCTGTGCCTCCCGGATTCAAGGGATTCTCCTGCCTCAGCTTCCAAGTAGCTGGGATTACAGGTGTGTGCCATCACACCCAGCTACTTTTTGTATTTTTAGTAGAGACGTGGTTTTGCCACGTTGGCCAGGCTGGTCTCAAACTCCTGACCTCAGGTGATCTGCCCACCTCAGCCTCCCAAAGTGCTGGGATTACAGGTATGGCCACTGAGCCTGGCCTCATGTATAGTTTTGAATAAGGAGCTAAACATAAATTTACTGAATAAACCTTATTACTAAGATGAGTTTAAAGTTTTTCAGTTGAGGAGCTAGAACAACAGTTGAGAACAGACATAGGATAGGAGATGGCTGCAGCAGAGGCAGGGAAACACTATTTTGGTTCTTTTCTTGAATCTCACTCTGTTGCCCAGGCTGGAATGCAGTGGTGTGATCTTGGCTTGTTGCAACCTCTGCCTCCTGGGTTCAAGTGATTCTCCTTCCTCAACCTTCTAACTACAGGCGTGTGCCATCACACCCAGCTACTTTTTGCATTTTTAGTACTGACAGGGTTTCACTATGTTGGCCAGGCTGGTCTCAACCTCCTGACCTCAGTCGATCTGCCCTCCCTGGCCTCCCAAAGTGCTGTGATTACAGGTATGAGCCACCCAGCTTGGCCAAGCCTTATATTTTCTAAGGAAAAAAAACAAACCAAAAAAAACACAACAAAAAGAGGTGAGGAAAGTAGAAATGGACAAATAGAACAACTGATCTTGGAAAAAACAGATGTCAGAAAAAAAATAATTTAAAAAAATTATGGGGATAGTTTCATCACTGGGTAAAGTTGCTAAACACCACTGAACTGTACAACAGAAATGTTTTTATTTTTATTTTATTTTATGTTTTATTGAGACAGGGTCTTGCTCTACCCAGGCTAGAGTGCAGTGGCGTGATCTCAGCTTACTGCAACCATCACTTCCCAGACTCAAGTGATCCTTCCGTCTCAGCCTCCCGAGTAGCTGGGACCACCGACATGTACCAACACACTGGGCTTTTTTTTTGTATTTTTAGTAGAGACTGCTGTCTTTGCCCAGCCTGAATGGGTAAATTTTATATGTAAAATATACCTCAATAAAATTGTTTAAAAATTAAAATATACATATAAATTCTAATGTACAGACCAGAAAAATAGAAAACTTCCAAATATATAAAAAATCTTAAGTTTTTCAGAGAAAAGAATAAGCTGTATAATAAAAGGATCTTGGAAATTATGATTAAAAAGTCATTTGCTTTCTCTTTATTTTTTTCTGTTATCTCTTTATTCCTTTTCAAATTCTTTCCTATCTTTTTTTTTTAGATTAATTGGGTGTTTTTAAATTCTATTTTATCCTTCTCATTAGCTATACTTCTTTCTCTCTCTTTGGTGGTTTCTCTATAGTTTACAATGTGTATTTTAACTTAACAGAGTCTGTATTATTTGTATTAATTTTTACAATGATCAAATAATGAAGGTGAAGGCTTGAAGAAAAAGGTCAAAGAACTCTTGGTGTACAACAAAAATTCAGAGATAGAAATTACAAGAGTTAAAAGATACAGATAATATGGCCGGGCGGGGTGGCTCATGCCTGTAATCCCAACACTTTGGGAGGCCGAGGCAGGTGGATCACCTGAGATCAGGAGTTTGAGACCAGCCTGGCCAACATGGTGAAACCCTGTCTCTACTAAAAATAGGAAAATTGGCTGGGTATGGTGTTGTGCACTTGTGGTCCCAACTGCTCAGGAGGCTGAGGCAGAAGAATCGCTTGAACCTGGGAGACAGACGTTTTGGTGAGCCAAGATCATGCCATCG